CCGGCGCAGGGTAGCAGGAAGCTCTCCACACACTCACCGGACCTGGGCTAGGACTGGGTCTGGGGGTTCCCAGAAGTCGGCTGAAATTCCTACTCGGCGGGAGGGGTGGGGAGGTATGGCGGAGTGGTGGGGGGCGGCCCGAAGGGGTGGGAGAGGGTCCGGCCCATGCTGCGCCTGGGCTGGGACTGGTCCCGCCGGCGCAGGGTAGCAGGAAGCTCTCCACACACTCATAGGACCTGGGCTAGGACTGGGCTTATTGGTCTTTTTATTAAAAAACATTCATAAAAAGTCTATAAATGAACTGAATTTAGTTATTGCTTAAATTTTTATTACTGCCCCATATGAATATTAATACTATGTTTTCAAATTAAAAATTACTATAACACATTTATTAAATTGAAGTTTATATTTGTGAAGCTTATCAATAATTCTCTAAATTATTACATGAAAATCTTATAGTTACATTCCCACTGTCAGTGTGTGTAATGTGTGTTTACAACTTCTACACCACAAGTTAGTTAGCTGGGATACAATTATTTATACCATTTTAGAGTTTTCCTTAAGCAGCTGTAACACAGTGACAGCTGGCCTGCTAACTCAACACATTTTTGCTTTGTGTTACTGGAATCCAAGGACCCCCCTCCCCCAGAGAAGCAGGACCAGCCACCCAGTGGCACCATCCTGCGTGGACCACCGGAGGTTCACGCCAGCCAGGGGAAGTACCAAATTCAAATCGGAGCCCCTGTCAGGAAGGCGTGTGAATGGCGGCTCCTCTGGGGACTGTTAACACAGCCAGGGCTGGAGCTTAACCACTCTGCAAGGCTCTTTAGTAAAGAGGCGAGAAACAGCTACATTTCAGAATTTGTCAGCTAAACCAGTAATGTGGCCCCTGGAAGCAGAAACTTTTATAGCTATATTGCACGCTTTGCGTGTCCCTCATCTGAGGGGCTTGGAACAAGTGGAGCTCAGACTTCGGACTTCTTCAGGTTTTGGAATATTTGCATTTACATGTAACAGGATATTTTGGGGCTAGGGCTGACATCTTAACCTGAAATTTATCAATTCATTTGTGTTACATTGCACTATGTACATACAACCTGATGATAATTTTATACTATATTTTTAGTGCATCTCAATTTTGGTTACAGCTGGTCAGATGAAGTCTGGTGTGGATTTTTCCATTTGTGATGTCATGTCAAAGCTCAAGATTTGCAGATCTGGAGAATATATGTGTGTGTGTGTGTGTGTGTGTGTGTGTATTACATATATACTATATATACACACATATATGTATGTATATATATTTTCGCTATGCAGATCAGATTCATAGTGATCCTCCTGTGTCAGTCTCCCCAGCGCTGGGATTATAGGCTTGTGCCACTGTGCCTGGTTTCAGGGCTGGCACAGTGCACCTGGGGTCCTGGGGTCCACATGGCAGGCAGTACTAGGGATGAAACCCAGGTCCTTGTGCTTACTAGGCAGGCGCTTAGACTGCTGAGCTGTCTCCCCAGCCCAGCCTATGTCTGTCAATACTGTAAATGTAATAAGTAAACTGTAGTGTACTAGTTAATTCTCGTCAGAATAAAGAACTGATGCTTCCAGAGCCTGGGTTATTTTCTGGTCTCAAAGTCAGTAAGAAGCAAACTGAGGCCGAAACATAAAGCCATTGGAGTTGTGATCATTCCCTCCCTTGTCTCTGGGTGCGCTGTTACGTGGACGTGCTGGAAGGTAGTCTAACATTGTAATTATTTGATACGGCTTCACTTCTTAGATAAAGTTCCCCATGATTTTCTTCTCTAATAGTATTTATATCTTCGATATTTTATTTTAGCTGAAATTAAAAAGAAGAAAAAGAAAAAGATGAACAGAAAGACAAGTGGCATACCTCCAGAGATAGCTGCTGTTCCTGAGCTCATTAAGTACTGGGCCCAGAGGTACAGGCTCTTCTCCCGTTTCGATGACGGGATTAAGTTGGATCAAGGTAAGAGGTGTGGGTATTTCTTAATTTTGTCTTGAAATCTCTTTAAATTTACAGAAAAGTTGCCAGAATTTTCATCCCCCTTTTAACAGGATTCGTCTTTTCACCACTTGAGTACGTACTTTATCATTCTCTGAGTGTCTTTTTCTGATTCGCTTGGACACATACCACCACCACTTGATACTGTAGCATGTGTTTGCTAAGAGCAGCCATAACTTTATGTAACAAAAGTTTTTTCTACAGCTCAGAGCGTCATTTGCTCAGTTGTCCTTCCATGTCCACCCATTCATTTGTTCTTTTTTTCTTTCTTTATGTTAGTTTTTTGAGACAGGGTCTCATTGTGTATTTCAGGCTGACCTCAGAAACGTGGGGATCTTCCTGCCTCAGCCTCCCAGGTGCTGGGGTCGCAGGCATGCATCATCTCCTCCTGCTGCCTGCCACGTGCTGGAAAGTGTCTTTTTTCTTCCAGTGTAGCGTCAAGTGTTGCTTTTAGTTTTCAGGTGTCTCTAATTGCCTAAATCTGGGCTGACGGATTGAGATTAGGGGGCTTTGCTGCTGCCTCAGTGCTGCAGACCCTTGCCAAGTGAAGCTCCACCACTGGGCTGCACCCCCAGCCCTACCTTGGCATTTTCCAAAAGGATGGTGGCCAGTTGTTTATCTAGACTGTCTCAGTTTGGAATATATGTATTTCTGAAACTTTCAGATAGATTTAATCTGTATTTGTAGCATTGTAGGATACATAGTGAAAGTAATTGATAGATTATTAGAAAGGACATCTGGTGAAGAAATAGCTAGTGCAGAAACGCATGATTTATCTGACGCTGGAAACGTTTGGGCTCCTTCCCAAGCGTCTCTCCTCTGATCTAGGACGCCTTCCCTAGCCCAGTCGCGAAGGCTGGTGCTCTTTCTCTTGCTGGGGCCACTCGAGGTCTGGGTCCTTGGTGGACTCTCAGGGATGTCCTGAACCTCTCCCCGTAGTTTACAAGTTGGCGTGGCTTGAGGGAAGCCTGTAGGAGTTTATTAGGAGAAGTAATGCAGAGAAAAGCTGCAAGTTGTACGTCATGACTTGATATTCTTGTTCTTCAAGGCGCGAGGAGCCATTTGAGGTTTGCGTCGGGGGTGGGAATGGGACGCTGGCACACATGTGTTCAGAGGGGTGCGCTGCTGGAAGAGGGGCCTTGCGGAAAGGAGGGCAGTGCTCCCGGACCCGGCGGGGGGTGTTCTGCTGTCCTGTCTTCCTTGGGCAGCTCTGCAGCCACTTACTGGCAGCCCCTGCTTTTTCTAGCCCTTCAGAATGTGCAAGTTTTTTCCCTCAGTGTAAATCTAGGTTATTGTTTCTCCATTAGAAATGAAATAATTGGGAGACTTGTTGGCGCTGCAGTTGGAAAAGCTGACTTTCTGTCTTCCATACAGATAGGTAGTGGTGAGTGTCTCACACCATGTCAGTGCTGTGTGTAGTTCCTGGAAAGGTGAAGGTATTAGGAAGAACTGGGTTAAAACTTGGAGTCTAGGGCGGGGGCTGTAGCTCAGCGGCCTAAGTGCCTGCCTGGCAAGCTCCGCCTGAGCTCAACTTCTGGTACCGCAAAAGAAATAATTCATTCATTAAAAGTCGGAGTGCTCACTTACATAGAAATGAGAGTGCAGAGCTTTCCTTAAGCCTAGGAAGCCTTACAACTTGTAGGAAGGGAGGGCTAAGCCTCAGCACCGAATGCAGTGAGCACTGCGGCTGGCCTGACAGATGCTTCTCCCTGCAGAGGGCTGGTTTTCAGTCACGCCTGAGAAGATCGCGGAGCACATTGCGCGGCGCGTGGGCCAGAGCTTCCGGTGTGGCGTTGTCGTGGACGCATTCTGTGGGGTCGGAGGAAACACCATCCAGTTTGCCTTAGCAGGAGAAAGAGGTAATCGCCATCCGTGGGAGGAGGGTTGCTTCCAGTTTATTCAGGAAATGTGTACTTTTATTTCAGCCTGTCTTTGCTGAGATTGTATAATAATTTCACGCCAAATACGTAAAGTAGTATCTTGTATACATGAGTTCTACAGTTTATAGCGCATACTGGTATAAGCACTGGATGTGTAACAGTGTATTCAGTCAACAGTCCCATGAAATTTGTCGTTTACCATCTGCTTTTCCCAGGTAGATTGAGACACTGAGAGACTAGGTATAACTTACGCAAGACTGTATAGACCTACAAACTGCTGGAGCTAAGATCATAACCTTGCGTAAAACCAAAAATGCTAACATCGTTCTTTGGAAGGAAAGACTACCAGCCCAGGAAGCCCACTTTGCCACTCAGTCGTGGTCTTCGTGGCTCTGCCCATCATTTGACCTCATTTAAAGGAGACGTTGATGCGAAGTAGTCCTGTGATGCTTTTCTTCATGCAGTGTACGAAGACTCTAAAAGTCTGGTCAAGAAATTTTATATCATCCCCAGGACTGTTTTACTTTGAATCAGAAGAAAGAAAACCTCGCTGAGTGTATAGATGCCAATAACGGTGTCCGATAGGCAGTGTGCTTTATCCTTGGAGGAAGGAGACTCTCAAGAAATAGAACATTCTGCCCGAAGTAGCTTGCCTGGGTGGAAGCCACGAGCTGGAGGCACACTCTCTGCTCAGTTTTCTCTAACAATGTCATGGTCACTTTCAAAGACACCCAGTCAAATCATACTCAGAGGATGCTTTTATTTCTCGTGTCTTCATGGGATACGTACCAACCACTAATGCCCGTTTCAGCAAGCTTTAGCAGAATCTCTGTAATTTACGTAAAGTTCTAGTGTTAACTAGGAAGGCATAATGTTTCTGGAAATCATAGTGTGGAAGTCAGAAGGAAGTGTATCTTACCGTTAACTTTAAGGCCAGCGCTGACAAAACGTGGCTACTGTTTAGTTACTCCTTCGCTCCAGACTTGCTGTTTGTTAGCTTTAGACAGTCTTAACAGCCTGGATCAAAGCTGCTTTCCTACCTAATGGCGTGGTAGTCTTCTTGTTGCCTCTGAATCCACTGTGTATTCTCAGATTTCTTGTCAGTTCGCCAGACGAGCCTTGTCATGCACTCAAATCAGTGTACATTGCCTGGAAATGCTTTTCCACCAATGGTGAAAGTAGCGCTTGGTTTAGCTTTGTACCCAAATGTGGTGGTTAAAATACATGCCCTTAATGAGGTACCACATAGGTCTGGAAACTTCTTGAAATATAAAAACAATTGCAAATCGTACATTTGTACTTCGGCAAGTGTTGGCAGAGCTGTCAATAGTTTCGTACCCACTTGGTAAAGGACGTCATGGACAGTGGGGCCCAAGCTGACAGGAGCCTTCTGTGCCTCACAGAGCCTCCTTAACAGCACGAGGGCCATGTAGCCTCCACCCTTCTGGACTGCGTCCCGGGAGGAAAGGAGGCCTCCTGTGCTGCCGTGGCCTCGCCTGTGGGAGCCGCTCGGCGTGCCCCGCGCCGATCTGTGCACACTGCTGCATCTTCCCCAGATCCCTCTGCAGTAGTCGCGCTGGCTGCACCACGGCAAGGTGTGTGAAGCAGCCCCAGCATGACCGCCTTTGTGTGCGTGCGCACACGTGCATACGTGCGTGGTCATGCTTCACTGCTTGAATCTGTGTATCGTGTGCGTGTGCTCCTGTGTGCACACGGGACAGCGGCTTTGTGCAGAGCTGACATCCTTTTGTGCCTGCTTGCTTCCTACTCAGTTGGTGTCGCTGCTTTGCCAGTCACTGACAGATACAGACTTGATGTGGCTGTTAAAAACTTTTGTTTTTCAGGCTGGGACGGTAGATCAGTGGTCTAAACACCTGCCTGGCAAGTGTAAGGACCCGAGTTCAATCCCTGGTACTGGATGCCAGGCCGACCTCAAACTGGGCATGGAGGTGCACACCTGTATTCCCAACACTGGGGAGGCTGAGACAAGAGGATCACTATGAGTCTAAGTTGCATAACTAGAGCTTGTATCAAAAATAATTTTAAAAAAGATTTTTTCACCTTTCAGTGTTTTGTAACATTGGTACCCCTGCCCAGCAGAGCTCTCCATGATGACAGAGATGTTCTTTGCCAGGGCTCTGGCATATGGCAGCACGGGGGTCAGGAGCCTTTGAGGTCTAACTGTGGGTGAGGGTCGTAATTCCTTCCAGCATCACCAGACATTTGCTGGCCTATGGCAGCCACGCGGCACAGGGCGTGAGCCTTCGAGATCTAACTGTGGGTGAGGGTCCCAGTTCCTTTCAGTATCACCAGACATTTGCTGGCATTTCACTCTCCTCACTGTGACGCAGCTGCTGACACCCACAGCAGAAAGAGGGAAAGCCTTGTTTTTGGCCCACAGCTTATGGAGGTTCCAGGCCCTGGTGTCCTGGCCCCAGGGCAGGATAGAGTGTGGCGGAGAGCTGCTCACAGAACACAGTGCAGGGGAGCAGAGCCTGCCGGTCACCCGACCTTCTTCTAGCCAAGCCCACCTCCGAACAGCCAAGCCTAAAAGCCCTTATAATCCCTCACTTCCCAAAGTCCCACCTTTAAGCACATGACATTTGGGGGATGACAACAGTACTCCTCTACTGGCCTAAACCCAGAGTTGGCCTCCAAAAGAGAGAAGAACATAGGATGGCTCAGTGGAATAAGTGCTTGCCTAGCAAGCGCAAGGACCTGAGTTTAATCCCTGGATCCACCAAAAAAAAAAAAAAAAGGAACCCTTGAATAGGTGTGACGTTGAGAGTGACTTTTTCTTTTGAATGTTTAGCATGGCAGCATATTTGTTTCCTCTGTGTCAACTGTAAAAGTAGCTAAAACCTCATAAATCTGAATACTAGTTTATTTACAGTGCGAAAGTGAAAGTGGACCATATAAATGCCTGGTTTTGACTGGTGCTTCGTATAATAATTCAGCACATTAGTCCTCAAATGTTAACAAATGTTGAAGCTAGCATTTCCATGGAAACAGTGCCACGTTACCTGTAGGCCCTTCCTGGGCAGGATTCTGTCACCGCACACTTGGGCACTTGCAGCACGCTGGGATCACTTACTGTAGACATGAGGGAGCCAGCTGACTCACGTTTCCATCACTGCTAACTGGAAGTGCAGGAGAATAAGAGAGTGCCCAGCAGGAAAACATGATACTGCCTCTTTCCTCTACCAGGAGTGCCTCAGTAAACATCAACAGTTTGCTTTGCTTTTGTTATTTGTAGCTTGCTATATAGATTTGTAAAGGTACATTTTGTTTGGTTTTCTGTAGAAGTTACTAAATTTGCGTTCCTTTAGGCATGGACTCCTTTCATGAAAATGCCTTTTCTGAAAGCTAGCAGGAGGCTTTCCCTCAGCAGGGGCCTTAGCTCCTTGGCCTACCCACGCTTCAGAGGCTGCGCTTCCTCTTCCGGTTGGCCTGCAGACCCCTGAGGCGACAGCATGCCGCTTACTTAGGAGCTGGCTGGGTGAGAAAGCTGTGAAACCAGTTCTTTCAGCAACAGTCATAGTCCCTTAAAATTGAACTAAAATCTGTGGTATAAGTAACCAAATGTTTCTTGGTCTTTACAAAAGTTTCACTCAAATAAGCAGACCATTATAAAAATGAGCTCTTCTATAGAACTCCTAATAGCTGTCAACTGACCTAGCTCTTCCTTTGCCATTTTCAGTGATTGCCATTGATATCGACCCTGTTAAGATTGATCTTGCTCGCAATAATGCCGAGGTCTATGGAGTAGCAGATAAGATCGAGTTCATCTGCGGAGACTTCCTGCTGCTGGCTCCCAGCCTCAAGGCCGATGTTGTCTTCCTCAGCCCACCGTGGGGAGGGCCAGATTATGCCACTGCAGAGACCTTTGACATCAGAACCATGATGTGTCCTGACGGATATCCTTTGCACACCGAGAGTGCACTTGAGTGGGGCTGCGGGGAGGGTGTGTGTGTGAGAGGGAGGTTGAGGAGGGCTGGTACGAGCTGATAGATTGCATAGACTCCAGTGCATGCCTGCGCAGAACAAACAGGTAGAAATGATGTAGTGGTGGGCCTCCAAAAGGAATGGCAAGTGTGAAATCAGTGTCCCTTGACTGCTGTCTAATTGTGCTAACGTGCAGCAAGTAGAATACATTGTTCGCAGGTGGAGACTTTCTTCACAGCCTGTCTGGAATCCCTGAGTGTCCAGCCCATAGCTATTTTTAGTTCTCCCTGACTTGGGCTATATTGACAAGTGTCTTGACTTTTTTCTTTACTGGAAGGAGTCATGCTTTCCTATTCCCTGTTCTGTTTTCTCAACTAGGAAATGATCGAAATAGTTTTTCTGACTTCTAGCTGTCTACCACTGGGATAACTGAATGAATAGATTGAACTTCTCCCCATCTCTGGCCTGTCAGGGGCTCTGTACTGCTAAGTACAACCCATGCTTGGTTCTCTTCTTGGTCCCGCGCAGTGACGAGACCCTCTTGGAGCACCAGTGATATATATATGTGGCCTGCTGGCGCGTGTGCCACTGCATTAGGGGACTGAAGTTTGGGCGCTCTGCTACACAGCAGAATAGATTTGCATTCTGATGAGAAAGAACATCACTTTTTGTAAAGAAATAAACTGGTTTTATTTCTTTAACTGCTTTCTACCTTTGAAATTTTCAGGCTTTCGCAGAAGATTACTAATAATATTGTTTATTTTCTGCCAAGAAATGCTGACACTGACCAGGTAAGCCATTGTCAAAGCCCTTCTGTGTGCTTCAAAGAATGGGCAGAAGAAGGTAGGACGTTTTCTGATCTCAGGCTCTGCCTGAGCGGTCCCTGGCTGGCTGGCTGTCGTTAGCAGCTGCACGTGCGTGGCAGGGGCCGGCTGCGTTCTGATTGTCTGCACAGCTTGCAGTGTGTGCGAGCACCCGCAGAGGAGGCCCTGGGACGTGCTGCGACTCGGCTCCCCAGTGCCTGCCCGCCGAAGCCCTTGATTGCGGGGCTCTGAGTAGTCCTGAGCACAGCTGGCCTGAGGTTCTGTCTCTGGAAGACCTTGCACTCAGCCAGGACTGACGTTTAAGTGCATTCACATTTTCTCAGCTCTGTTCTCACCGCCTCTTACTTTTTCTGGCGTATCTGTTATGCATTGTTCTTCTATGTTTTCCGGTATTTTGGACCTCCCTTTTTTCCTTGCAGACTGTCTAGTTTTTCAGCTCAAATACATCCATTCTGTTATGGAATATAGCTCTGCGCGCGCCTGTGTATGTGTACACGCACTGCCTGTGTTTTGGTGTCATAGCATAACTGAATGGCTTTTTTTTTTTTTGGTGGAACCAGGGATTGAACTCAGGCCCGCGCTTATTCTACTGAGCTCTCTCCCCAGCCCCTGAATGGCTTTTAAAAGCCACTGGTAGCCTCATACACTTAGAAAAAATTTCTCTGATTTATTTCCTGGCGTGAGACCCAAGCGTAGCTTTAGCAGTTGTAACATGCTACAGCACTGGGATTCTGTGCGTTAGAAGTAAATGAGGCTTGCCAAGCTCTCACTCCCGACTGGAAATGAATCTGACCTTGTCTTTCTAGGCACTGGGCCTCCTACAATAGTACGTTGTGCCACTTCTGCATATGAAAGTGTGTCATCCCATACAGCGTGTTTCTAATATCAGATTTGATATTAGACATATTGCTACTTGCATGACTCAGCTAGTTCTGGACTTTCAGAGAAGGCTGAGCTTACTGGTAGCATAGTTGGTGTTCTCATAGTCAGGTCAGCGTCGTGTTCTGTAACCATCACGACAGGCCGCGTGCATTTGCTGAGCTATGTCGCGCTCCTTAAGTTACATGTGATAGGCTCAGTTGGGAAAATACCAGTAGGCGAGTCCCTGCTTCCCATCAGGGTCAGCTGGTTAACATTTCACAGGGAGTGCTTAACGGTGTGTGTAGGGGGGTGAGTCTTTTATTTATTTCTTTTCATGAGCAGAATATATTTATTGGGGGAAAGAAAGCTCCTGTCCAAGAGAAGGAGGGGGCCCCCGAGCCAGGGGTCCCCTTGTGTGTGTCTTTAAAGTCCTGCTGGGATTAGGGTTGGTATTCCATTCCTGTTTCCTGCCTCTAGAGGGAGTAAAGACACTAGAAAATGAAAGTCAGAAATTGAGATTTCAAGTGCATTGTTTCATTTGGTATTGGAGTTAGGTGAAATTACAGTAAGAAAGTGACATTTTGTCTTAAAGGAAATGGTACCCTATGTGAGATATTTAAAATGAGAGGAGACACCAGTACAGGCGTGAGAGAAGCGTTAAGGCCCACAGAATGTCTGCAGAACTGAAACTTGTAAAACACGTAGCTGGGTTTTCAGAGTCTTAAGCTTTTTCCCCACGGAAAGGTCTATAAGCAACCGTTAACTTTCTAGAGAAATTGTACTCAGGATTCTGCTTACACCATCCTGAGCTCTGGACTTGACGCAAATACAGCTTGTCTTGAAGTCATTTCATACATGAAATACTGCTAACTTTTGCTGTGTCCATGAAATACTTTTGTAGGTACCCTGTTGTCTTTGTCTCCAACTCCCTTTTAATTCTAGGGGGTTATTCCAGGACATGTAGCCCTTACGCTCCATCTTCTCAAGAATTAAATATTGTAGAAAGTCTTCTGAGGTGCTCTTCACTCATTTTCTGAACTCACGCATGAAGGCTGGAGGCTCGGCTGAGAAAGCTCAGGATGTCCGTGTCTCCTGGGGCCTCTGTGTCGCTGCACTGTCCTGCATTTCTCTCCTTTGACAGCCGTGGCATTCCAGTGCAGGTTGTGGTCCTAGCATGGGAGTTGCTGTGCTTGCAAAGGTGCAGTTTCTTTTAAGTAGTAAACTGCATGCAGAGCAAGGCCCCGGGGCAGGCCAGTGTGACTCCTCCTACAGTATAGGCTGCAGAGCCAGCATGGAGCACCCCTCTGTGAAATCGGCGCTGGTGGAGTCTGATAGGAGGAGTTTTCTCTTAGCTGGGCGTGGACCGAGGAGAGGAAGAGCCCTGGTCTTTGTGATAACAGTGGCTCCTTATCCGTGGTTCATTTCCTAACTAGATGTAACTACCTTCAGAGAATGGATATAGCTTTTGTACTCCTTGGTCCAAATTAAGGCCCTTGGGTTTGTATATTCATTCATTTCACTAGCGGCAAAGGTAACATTGAAATCCCTAAGAACTATGTTTAAAATGTAAAGTGGAGGCCCTCTGAGTGTTGGTTCACCAGCCTTGCCTGACATGTGCCCCTTTCAGTGTGTGCTTTAGATAGACATCTGATAGTAGTTGGGCCAAACCTGCCTGTTTTATTTCCTCTTAAAGGAGGAAAGTATTATGCTCCTGGGATATAATACTTCATATCCTAATAATCATAGTAAAGCATCCTATGATTATTTAAGTGAGAGATAAACTCTCACTTTTTAGTTGTCAGAATTCCCTAGGCTCCCGTTGGCTCTTAAGTTCCATTCTACGGGATGTTCAGGGGTAGAGTAGGGTCTTAGCACGCATAAGGCCCTGGGCTCAATCCCAGAGGAGAAGGGAGGGGAGGGGAGTTGAGGGGGGAGGGGAAAGGAGGAAAAGAGAGAGGAGGAGAGCCAAAGGGAGGAGGGGGTCAGGGGAGGGGAAGGGAGGAGGGAAGCAGGGGAGGGGGGAGCGGAGGAAGATGGAGGAGGGGGTGGAGGCAAGCCGATACTAGGCCTCCCATGTCTGGCGTGGAAAGCTGCTCATTGTGGTAAGCATCCCTAGCTGTTCGTTCTGCTAGGGAGCTGTGCATGCCAGCAGGAGCCGTGCCCCGGAGCTGTGACCCCCAACAGTTTGTTTTTATTGCTTGGCTTATTGGTAGAGAGGTAGGCAGATAGAAATTATTGGTAACATTTCTAAAGCTTGCCATACAGAAAAAGAGTCATGCACATTGAGTAATTAGAGTCACTTATAAATAATCTGTTAGGTGATGTTATTTGGAAAATATCTTTAATAATAACTGTAAGTTCAACTCAGCATTTCTTATGGTTTTTGGCTAAATACAGTAAACAGTCACCACAGGTAATCATAGTATCTAATAAGCTAAAAAGTAGTGCCTTCATATTTCTAAGTTTTAGAACGAGGAAAAATTAATATCAGAATGTTCTGAACTAATGATGTGAGAATCTGGTCTAAGGTAGCATTCTTATAGCCAAAACTGTGCCCACGTAGTGTGTACAGTGAAGCCGCTCCAGGAGAAGGGGCCTCTCGTCCAGGTTCTGCAGCCAGCCGTGAGAGGAGAAGGAGCGAGGCCCCGCTGGGCTCTGGGCCCCGCAGGCGTCACAGATGCCACAGCCCGATCTCAGCTCAGCCCGCGCTTCCGACTCGGAGCACAGAAGTGTGCGCGTAGCTCACAGCACACTGCATTGCGCACCCGCGCAGTGTCGGCTCCCGGAGCCTTCCTTCTGTGGATGGCCTGCTTGGGGCTTGGTGGGCCTTTCTCCCCCTCTGCAGTGTGCGCGTCAGGTTACCAGGCTGGTCTGCTTGGCGAGTGCACTAGGGAAGTCCAGAGCTCTGTATGGCCACTCAGCTACAGTGGCAGCACCACCTCAGCCACCGACGACAGCGTGTTCAGTGACAGGAAGAAACGCTCGCCTCCTGTCGCAGGGGTAGCTCTGTGAGGTTCAGGCAGTTACCAGAATGTGAAGTGACAAGAGCAGCCGAAGGAACTATTCAGGAGTTGCCACAGTCTGTTCTGGCCCATTCCTGCTCAGTAAGAAAGACAGCAGAGGGCTAGAAGTCCCTGGAGTAGTGGGAGCACTAGTGGGCCGGTCCTTGTCTGCTGCAAGCGTCCCCTCCCTCTAGGTCCTGGTACCGGGTCTCCAGATCCACTCTGCTCCTAATAAAATAGCTGCAGTTGTGTTGCCGTTTAGGATGAGCATAGGATCAGTTATAATATTTATTAGCTGGCCTTCCCTGGGCGAACTGATGCCGTACCATTCAAGCAGTTCTGTGTGTTCTCTCTTGTGTGTAATTCATCATTCTGTAGGGAGGCTGTGGAACCGGCAGGCTCATCCATCAGATGAAGAGACAGGCGGATTTGCTGGCATGATTCTGAGTGTGAGCTGCTAGCTCCTTTAGTAGTGGAGCGCAGTTTCTTGGCTGGCGACATCAACAAGAAATAGAGGGATGCCCGGCTCTTCCGCACCACACGTGGTGCTAGCCGCGGTCCCGTGCTCATGGGGGTCTTGGTGCTCTGGCCTGTTCCGTTTTATTGAACTTGTTCAAGAGCACTCCTCGTGTTTCCAGCATTCAGTTCCGAAAGCAGATGGGAGACGAAGCTCAGGGACTGCTCGTTGGTCACCTTCCCCAGCCAGTGAAGGTCAGCACAGGTGCTAGTAATGCTGTCCCTTCGGCTGGCCTGTGACCCGTTCCTCCTTGCCAGCCCCGGCACTCCAACTGTGCAGCCTAACGTAAGAAGCAGCGAGGGTTCAGTCCTCAATGCTAATCCGTGCAGACTATGGGCATGTTGTTAAATCTGACGCCTAAGCCACGCAGCCCAAACAGCATGATGCAGAGCTGCTAGCCGTCCCCCTAGTCTCGCACGGTTTATTAAACTTTAAGAATGGGCAGGGAGCTAAGTACCACTTCACCAGTTACGGTGTTAGTGAAGAGTAAGGACAGCTGCAGATAGATAGTGTTGTGTACTCCCAGCAAAGCTTTACCTGCGCACCTGAACGTGAATTAACCTTTGCAGCTCTAAAATTCTAACCTT